TCTTGCATCATGACAATGCACCAGCTCACATGGCACTGTCTGTGAGGGAGTTTTTAGCCAGTAAACAAATAACTGTATTGGAACACCCTCCCTGCTCACCTGATCTGTCCCCCAATGGCTTCTTTCTATACCTGAAAATAAAGGAAATATTGATGACATTCAGGACATCGAGGATAATATGATGACAGCTGTGATGGCCATTCCAGAAAAAGAGTTCCAAAATTGCTTTGAAGGGTGGACTAGGCACTGGCATCAGTGCATAGCTTCCCAAAGGGAGTACTTCGAAGGTGACCATAGTGATATTCAGCAATGAGGTATGTAGCACTTTTCCTAGGATGAGTTCATGAACTTAATTGCCGGACCTCATATTTGCTGTGGAGAAGTGTCTGCTCGGTCCTTCACCCACTTTTTGTTTGTTTGTTTGCTGAGCCATTCTGCTACCTGTTGGCAGCTCATTGGCAGCTCAGCTCTGGACCATGTGGGAATTGAACCAGCCACCCTGTTGCTCAATGCTTACACTCTTGAGTGAGCTTTTAACCAACTGAGCCACTCGGCCGGCCCCCTTCGCCCACATTTTAACTGGACTGTCTGTCTTTGTGTTATTGAGTTGTTAGAGCCCTGATTTTTTGGCATGTTACTGTCTTGTAAAGAGCACGTTGTTCTTTCTGGACTATTCTGTGAATTCACTCATGGGGGGCTCTCACTTGGTCCTCTGTATCTCCCCCCGTGTTTCCAGTAAGCCAGAAGGTTGACTTGGGGCTGGCGTTCAGTCAGATTCCTTTTTTATTTCTTAAACATGTACATGTGTGATTTTTATTTGCCCTCCTTCATAAATGTGTCAGGGGTTATGGAGTGTTGGGACTATAAACCAGTTTAATTTTCTTCTTCACATTTACCTACTAAAAAGCTTCATTTCAAAAGGCACGAATAAGAGAGAGAAAGAAAATCATATACAATTTACCATGGAGCAGGCAGTAGATGACGGGTTAGAGGGTTTCTTGCCATCAAGCATATGCAGAATGCTCTACCTGCTGTCTCCTCATCTACTTTCCCCACCTCCTAGGTGGAAAACACATCTCTGTGTCATGATTTTTGACACTTGAGAGAGCTCGTGTGGGCAGGCCCCCAGGCTGCCCCAGCTCTGCCTGAGACAAGCTGGGCTCGGGGAAGAGATGGGCATACCTTGTCACCTCCCACCAATGGTGCTGAGTGTTTGGGTGGACAGGTGGGAGGCAGCCTCCCCTGTAGGCCCCTCGTGAGCCAGCCTGGGAGGAGAGGCAGCCAGCTGGCCAGGACCGGCCGAGCCAAACATGAGAGCTGTTGGGTGTGGATGGGTCCTGGCACCTATCACTCACCAGGGTGGGAGAGGCGTGGGAGACTCAAGCTGTCTTGGCAGAGCCTGGTTGGGCATCTGGCCCTGCCACCTACCTGCCATGTGTCCTGGGCATGTGACTTCCCCTTGGGGGTCCCCGTATCCTCCTCAGTGAACAATGACAAATGGACTTACGGTGTGGAGTGGATGAACTGCTCACGTGAAATGCGTAGAACAGGGCTGGGGACCTGTGAAGTGCTTGTGTGTCCACTGCCTCTGGATCCGGGCTCCATGACAGACTGAGGAACTGGCCTCTGGAAGTGTGCCTGGACATTCAGGGCTTGGGACCAGGGGCTGAGACTGGGGCAGTCATGTTCAGGCCGTTGGCCTAGAGGGCGGATTTGATGGCCTGTGTGGTGTGGGTGGGTTGCAGAGACCCTAAGCCTCCCCAGTAGGTGTGGAAAATCTGGGGGTGATGAGGTGGGATGGGCAGGAGTGGATGGCTAGGGTGCTGGGCGCGCAAGAAGGCCAGCTCTCTTACTTGTTCATGCTTCAGTGTCTCATCTGAGGTCCCGGCCCAGGGAGCCACTCCCTCCTCCCCCTGCCCTCTTGTGGCTCCCTTCACAGCCGTTAGCCCAGCTCAGGGCCACACTGGTATTCACAGTAGTACTGGGGTCAGGGTCTACCTCTTAGAATAGACACACTGTCCTGTTTGCCACGGTGCAGCGGAGGCCCACCGTGAGCCTCGCATGGCTGTGTCTGGGCTAGAGGGAGAGGGCAGGTGGACTAAGGGCTTGTGTGGGAAGGAAAGGGGGGCATCCCATGTGGGGATTCAGATCCCAGGCCCTGGCTTCGGGTGAGTGGGCTGGCTAGGATGGTGTGGTAGTCAGTTGTAAGGGTGGGTCGGGTCTCCAGTGGGGTCAGCCTCCGGGGTAGGTAGGCTGGCTGAGGCTGGGGCCCTCTGTTGCTCGCTGCTCCTGAGGGGCTGTGACAACCCCTTTTCTTTTATAAACCGTGTTTTCTTGGTAGAGCTCTGTGACCCTACCCAGAGTGTCACAGGCACTGGTGGCCTGCCATGCGTACTTCATGTTTGTGTTTGCCCCTTGAGGAGAAGCCTTGAAACTCACTGTGGACACAGGGAAAAGGATGATAGTGGGTCCCTGGACGTAGCAGTGACCCATGTGTGTCAGGACCCTTCATGGCCTCATGAGCAGTCCAGCTGTGAGTGTGACCCTCAGGGGGCTTTAGCTGCTGTCCTCCTGTCCCCAGCCCCTGATGCCCCATGCATGGGACAGGATGCCTGTGGACCTCCGGCCTCCAGATCCCTCCCAGGGAGCTGACCGTCTCAGTGGCGATTCCTGGGCTCATGCTGCCCTCTAGTGCCTGCTGCAGGGCCTGCCTTTTGGGAGCCAGTGGCTGCATCTTGGTGATATGGACCCCCCACCCCTTCTTTCTGGGACCAGTGAGCTTCCTTGCTTTCTCATTCCCCAGCTCACTGGGGTGGGAGGAGGTAGACTTGGTTAAACTGTCTTCCAAGTTCTCGGGTCTGTGTGCACTTGGGTTCTGATCTTTTCTAAATCCTGGAGGAAGTCTGGTTTTGGGGGACCCTTTCCGGCGTTCATCACTGAACCCCTTTCTGCTTGGGCTGGGCCACTGACTGCCTCACTGGGTCCCCTTAATTTTGGGGACAGGAAAGGGCCTCTTCCACTACGGCCTCCTTCCCAAGAAGAACCTCAATCCTCTTTGGATTTTGGGGCTTACAGACCCAGCCCTACTCTCCCCTCCTGTGCTGAAATGTCCAGGCATGGTTGTAACGGGGACACCTTGGAGCATCTCTGATCGCAGGAAACGAGCCATTCGGGCTGGGCCTTCTGCTCTTCTGATTCCCGACTTCCGCCTTCATGGGCCTGGGTTCACTGACAGCAGCCAGGCCAGTCCTGGAATGACCCACATGCTGCTTAGTGGTCACCACCCAGAGTCAGGGTCCCCTGCTCGCAGCTTCAAACACTGAAAGAAGACAGACTGACACAACCTCACTCACCTTCTGTAACTCACCATGTGCTGCTGTCTGTCTGTCTGGACGTCTAGCTCTGAAGGACATACATTGGTTTGAGTCCCCGATAAGAAAAGCTTTTATTTCTGAGGCCCCCAGTTTAAAATCAGTGCTCTGGTTTCCAGGATTGTGTTGGCTTTTAGAACTAGGACACCTCTGTTTTTAATTATTTGAAGGCATTTTGGTCTTTTGTGCCAGAACAGAGTGAGGAAGTCAGCTCCCAGTCCCCTCTCTGCCTGTGTGGCTCTCTGGGGCCACAGGTATTTTAGCACGGTCTAAGGGAGAAGAACACCCACCAGTGGGGCCACCGCCATGCTCACGCTCTTTGTGTTCCCTCGCAGGTGTGGCGGCATCTCAGCTGCAGCCATGGGGTCTGAGGATCACGGGGCCCAGAACCCGAGTTGTAAAATCATGACGTTTCGCCCAACCATGGAAGAGTTTAAGGACTTCAACAAATACGTGGCCTACATCGAGTCCCAGGGAGCCCACCGGGCAGGCCTGGCCAAGGTGGGTGATGTGCTGGTCCTGGCGCAGCGTGTCTGTGCGTGTCCATGTCTGAGAGGGGCACACCGTAACATACTCATGGAGCCACTCCGACCTCGTCTATCTATGGACATGACGGGATTCTTTCCCCATGCCAGGCACTGTCCTAGGCACTGGAATTCACCAGTGACTCGCATGTCCCCTGTCCCTGTGGGCAGTGGCCACCCAGGGCATCATGGTGGCAAGTCTCACCCTGCCACGGGAAGAAGGGGATCGAGAGTCTGGGGAGGCTTCTGGGTCATTCGATGCTGGGAAGGCCTTAGTTTTTGCATTTATATGCCCAGTGAAATACGTATTTTTTTTGAGATAGTAATGCTCGTGGGAGGCAAATTCAAACAGTGTAACTGGGCGGAGAGTGACAACTGAGGCTCCTCCTCTCCCTCCCATCCCCATCCCTCAGCTCCTATCCCCAGAAGCAACACGGGTGCCATCGTCTTCTGTCTCCTTTCTTGGTGCATCACGCACAGACGTGTGTGCATGCGTGATGGCAGACAGACACACAAGCTCACCGTGTTGCTTTTTAATATAAATGGCTGTGTTTCTTCATGTTTGCATGAACCTGTATGTGTGGCAACTCACCCCCAGATTGGGAAGATTTGTAACCTGTTTGTTTGGGGTTCTTCTAGCTGCTTCCCGATGACTGTCACTTACCTAAGATTCCTAGCTGTCTATTCTTTAAACCAGGAGGCTGCTAAACTTCTTTTTTTAATTTATTTTTTTATTTTTTTAGCTGAGCCATCTTGTTGGCAGCTCAGCAGCAACTCAGCTCAGGCCGGGCATCGAACCGCTGTTGCTCAGAGCTCGCACTCTTTTTTTTTTATTTAAGATTTTTATTGGGGAATTGGGGGATGGGAACAGTGCTGGGGAATTGGGGGAAGGGGAACAGACAAGTCTCTGTCCTTTTGTTCTTCAGTCCATTTGTGGAGGACATTGCTTCACTGGCCCAAGTTGGCACCATCATTGCACTCCTCCTGGGCGAGGCAGATCAGTCGCCGGCTTCTGGACGGCCGCTCACAGTGACTGCTGGCCGCTCACGCTGGCTGCTGGCTACATACGGTAGCCCATGGCAACCCACTGCCGCAGGGGCTGCAGCCTACGCCGTCGCCAGCGACTCACGGCAGCCCAGCTCCAGGTTGAGCTGTTGTTCAGCATCTTAGCTGTAGAGGGCAGTGTCACTGGCCCTCATATATGGGATCCGAACCGGGGCCCTCTGGCGTCCCAAGCCAGCTCTTAACCAATGCGCCACTCGGCTGGCTCTTTTGTACAGAGTCAGATAGTAAGTATTTTCAGCTTTGTCGACCTGACATTCTGTGTCACCACTGCTTAGCTCTGCTGCCTTAGACGACCCTTAAACCAATGGGCGTGGCTATGCACCATAAAAATTTTATTTATGGACACTAAAACGTGCATTTCACAGAACTTTCACTTGTCCCAAAGCTCTCCACCTTTTAAAATTTTTCCTCAACCGTTTAAAAATGAAAACAAAACAAAACAACATTCTTAGCATGAAGGCTGTACAACATCAGGCAGCGAGTGGGATGTACACCAAGGGCTGCAGTTTGCTGCCTGGCCCCTCCACCCCCCACCCTGCCTGGTTTGGGTTGGTTTTGTTACTAATATCAGTTCCTGTCCTGGTTACATTCATGCCTTCAGTCTCAGACTCAGGAGATAAGGAAAGCAGTGGGCTTGCCACATAGTTTTTTTCTCCCCTTTTCCTCTTGATTTTTGTTCATTGTACACGTGATGATAGAGACAAAACAGAATATTTTTATCTGGTTCGGGAACCATGGCTATCACTGTCATTTTAGCTTCAGTTCTCCCCTTAAATAGCTTCATGTTCACTCGTGTCTCACTCGGCTGAAGTTTGTCATCTCATATGAGAAGGGCTCTGGACACCCTGCACCTGGGGTTCCAGCAGGTTCAGAAGCATTCGTTTGAGGCTTTTCTGCCCTGCTTACCCGTTGATTGGCTGATATCAATTGCCAGGTGGTACTTTCCTACCTCTGTGCCCATCGCAGGTCTGCAGTGGTGGCGAGATGCTGTGATCTGCAGAATCCGGCCCTCAAATGAGAGCCTGAGGTTACTCTGTTAATTTAATTTATGCTATCTCTAACACACTGCTGTGTGAGGACATGTGAACACCAGGGAGGGACCGTCACACACGTGTGATGCCTGGTTTGCACATGTGTGAACCACACTTTCCTGAACACATGCTAAGCAGGTTCTAAAAAGCTTTTGTGAAAGAAGGGCTACTTCCAGCTGGTCTGGAACCCGAAGCTTCTGGAAAAATCCCTTAGCAACATATTGTAGCCTAACACCCTCATAGCGCTGAGTGGTCAGATCTGAATGGAGGATCTCCAGGCAAAGGACAGCTGAAGGACATTACCTAAGAACTTGGAGCACCGTGACTGTCTCCACTTGGTGCCTAGAGAGCCAGGTACAGCCTGGGACTGACCCTTGCTCAAAGCTCCTAGAAAGCAACTTCAGCCAAGGTCAAAAGGAACGGAAAGGCGACACACCCCTGGTGAACAAGGTGACACTGGGCAGGTAGCCCAGGTGTGAGTCATGGAGCAAAGCTAGAGAGTCTGGGCAGCTGGGGCAGAAGATGTGGGTGACCCTGCAAGAGGGAAGGAGTGAAGGGCCTGCCTTTGGCCCCCCAAACCACCTGGTTCCAAAGCCACTTTGCAGGGGGCAGGCCTGACAGCTGAGAGCAGCCAAGACACTGCCTGGCTGCAGGACTGTCCTCAAGGAAGCGCTCAAGCACCAAAGCACCTTCCTCCCACAGGACCCCACCCTGCCTCATCACCCCACCAACCCACACCATGCCCCTCCCTGGCTCCTTCTGCCTCAGCACTTCCTAAGCAGCCTGAGGAGGCTCCCAACCCTGGTCTGCAGGGGGCAAGGACCCACTGGGCACAGCGCCCAGAGCAGCTGAGGAACATGAAGGGCCATGTCATGGCCCCAGAGTGGGCACACCCCTAGCTGCTTCTGGCAGCAGCCTGGCTCCGCCTGTGCCTGCTGACACACATCCCACCCAGCTCCACCGGACCCTGCAGAGCTTTTGAGGGGGAACAAAATACAGCGTTTATAGGGCGGCCGGTTAGCTCAGTGGGTTACAGCGCAGTGCTTATAACACCAAGGTTGCTGGTTCGATCCCCACATGGGCCACTGAGTTGAGCCCTCCACAAATAGATTGAAATGACGACTTGACTTGGAGCTGATGGGTCCTGGAAAAACGCACTGTTCCCCAATAAAATTTTTAAAAATAATTATAGCATTCATGAAAGAGGAAACCCCTACCGCCACACCACATGCACACTCACGCATACACGCACACAGGCATGCAGACACAAAGAAGGGCAGTCAAGGCTGATGAGGCCAGAATGAGGGAGACACCTGTGTCTGCAGAGCTGGCTCAGGTCAACAGGACACCATTTCCCTTCTCCAGTACCCCTGTGTGAAAGAAGTAGGAGGTGCCCAGGGCCACAGCACCCGCTTCCCTCGATCCATCTGTCCACAGAGTGGCAGGGAGGCCGCTGAGGGACTAGAGGCACCACACGAGGTCCTTGAGAGATGGGAGAAGGGGTGTGTGTGCACATGTGTGTCGGCGTGACTCTAATCACCAGGATCTCTCAGCAACTGTGCTGTTCCCCCGCCCCTCAATCACACAGAACCCTGTGCCTGCCCCCTCAGACTGTTCCCCCTCAGCTGGTTTCAGAAAGAATCTGCGCATCCAAAGGTGACTATCAGTCAAAACAAAAGCAGCAAATAAAACACCACTTAAAAGAGAAAAGGAACACGCAAAACTAAAGGCAGAGGGAAAATCTGCCCTGAAAATATTTGCCTCACAAAAAATCTCCAGTCCAAACTGTTTCCCCTCCATCCAAATAAATTAGTGAAAAATTGGTCCACCTGAATTAAAAAGCGTAAAGCAGGGACATCAGGGCTCAAAGGAGAAGTGCCGAGACAGTGAAGGAGATGAAGAGGGAAGAAGGAGAATGAAGGTAAACGCATAGATCACACAGACATGGGGGCAACAGAAATGATGGGGGTAAAAAAATGGCAGAGAAGCGACAGGTGGAACTTAAAGGTGCTTCTGATAGAACAGTCCGAGATATTAATTTGCTACAAGCTTCCTGACATAAAGGACGACATGAATCCAAAAGTTGATGTGCTGGCTGAGTCCTGGGTAAAGCAGAACTATTGGGTTACAACAAAAAACAGAAAAAAATACGTCATGATTTTTCCGACAACCCAATAGGTCAATGACAAGACACTGGGAGGGGTCGGAGTGGAGGGGGTGTGATTTGGGGATGACACATTTTGTTTATTTGCCCCAGAGTGGGATTAAGGATGGACTTCCTCTAATAGAATGGCAGTGGGTTCTCCTCGGTGAACGCCTCTGGGCAGGTCCGAAGCTTGTCCAGGGTGACCGCATTTTCCTGTAGGAACAGTCAGCCTTTCTATAAAGGGTGGACATTGCTCACGTAATTAAAAAGCAGCTTCGCACGGAAGAACATCTTGGGTCTGGAGGCATAGCCCCTTTATTTATTTTTCCTTTTGCATTTCTAGCCTTGAATGTTTTAGTTTATAACCTGACTCCTCAGATTTCTTACTTGAAACCTGATCCCAGCACCCTGTTGTCACGTGGCCTTGTATCAGATGCAGGCACCCTAGGCACCTATTGCATCATGGCCGCAATTGACACAGAGCGGGAGAGGAGATGTCCCCAGAACAATCCTCCACTGAACAGTCGTGTCCTTCAGGAGGTGGCTTGTCCCCATTTAACTCCAAATTATGGTCCCAGCCTTAGCACTGGTAACATCCAGGCAAGGTGACTCTCTGTGGGGGGGCCATCCTGGGTACTGTGGGGGTTGAGCAGCATCCCGGGCCCCCACCCACTCGATGCCAGGAACATTCCCAGTTGTGACAACCACGATGTCGCCAGATATTGCCTGGTGTCTTGGGGTGGGGGTGGGGGGCAGGATCACCTTGGGTGAGACCCACTGACTTCCTCTTATGCCCTTGTTATTTATTTGTATTTTGTAAATAAATGGCTGTGTGCTGACAGGGAGGCAGCACCTGTCTGTTGTTAACAGGCAACTGGAGAATAAGTGTTTTTGTTGTCAAGCAAAAACATTTTCTTCCACCGATGTGATAGACGCCCTAATGGAATCCTTGGGGATGGTGAATGGATTTTAGCCCTTCTGGAAGCTGCCGGCAAACTCGGGCATCAGCGCGGTGTTCTTCCCTCATTGACCCTGAGCAGTGAGGGTTCAGCCTCCTCAGAGTTCATGGCTGATGCCCTGAAAACAGGTTGGGTTTCTTTTCCTAAAGCTGTTGGGTGGCCTGCAAAGCACCCTGGATGGAGACTTGAGGCTCACACTCACTCACTCAGGACTGGGAGAGACCAGCCCCAGTCGGCCCTGGGAGTCCTGCACAGAAGTGTGCCTGGTGCTCGGGAGGCCTGTGCCCAGCCCAGAGGTCGCCCCTGACCAGGAGAGTGAAGGGCCGCGAGTGGATTCCTGAGGCCAAGCAAGCCTAGCACAGTGGCCACTCAGGTTGTGCCCAGACCCACTGCCCCCTAACACCAAGCTGTTCCTGTGGACCCTTAGTGTCCCCTGTGGAGAAGGGCAGGGAAGGGAGGGGAGGGGCAGGAGAGCTGTCACCTCTTTGGAGGGTCAAGTCCTGATGTCCGCCTGCTGGATCTGCTGGAGTGAAATAGCTGCCCTTTTCTCAAAGGTCACCTCAGGTCTCCTCCCATGTGGAATTGTCACCTCCCCTGGGCCTCCTGCCTCTGGGCATCTCACTCAGTCCTTTATTTTATATTCTTAGTCCTTACAACTGGTTATCTTTCTACAGTTTCCTTATCTCTTACCACTACTTATCACCTGCCCTCTGCCGTCAGAATGTAAAACCTTCAATGTCTCCCCAGCACGGAGAGCTGTGATTAGCCCCCAGGAGGTGTCAGTGAAGTGGGTTCCTAGTGTGTTGGGCACGCAGTGCTCCCTTTCGAAGCTAGAGGGCGCGGTGGCCCTGTGCTCTGGTGACAAAGTGAACACACTTGGTTTTTTGGGTTTTTTTAAAAGATTTTTTTATTGGGGAATTGGGGGGATGGGAACAGTGCTGGGGAATTGGGGGAAGGGGAATAGACAAGTTGCTGTCCTTTTGTTCTTCAGTCTAGTTGTGGAGGACGTTGCTTCACTGGCCCAAGTTGGCACCATCATTGCGCTCTTCCCGGGCGAGGCAGATCCGTCGCCGGCTTCTGGACGCCGCTCACGCTGGCTGTTGGCTACATATGGTAGCCCATGGCAACCCACTGCTACAGGGGCTGCAGCCTACGCCGTCGCGGGCGACTCACGGCAGCCCAGCTTTAGGTTGAGCTGTTGTTCAGCATCTTAGCTGTGGAGGGCAGTGTCACTGACCCTCATATGTGGGATCCGAACTGGGGCCCTCTGGCGTCCCAAGCCAGTTCTTAACCAACGTGCCACTCGGCCAACCCTCACATTTGGTTTTAAAAGAACTTCAAATGCAGTGTGGGAGGCGGGCACAGCTCTGCCCTGGTAGGTGGTGCCCACGTTGTTGGCACTGGATCTGCTGGGGGTTTGATGAAGGTACAGATAGTTCCTGGTGTCCCCGTGAGGCGAGCCCGGGTGTGCTCTCCAGAGGGGGTAGCATGTCCTCTGCCTGGCTGCCAGGCCTGTCTGGAGGCATGCATCACTGACTCTCCTCTCACTCTCGCAGATCATCCCCCCAAAGGAGTGGAAGCCGCGGCAGACGTATGACGACATCGACGATGTGGTTATCCCAGCCCCCATCCAGCAGGTGGTGACGGGCCAGTCGGGCCTGTTCACACAGTACAACATCCAGAAGAAGGCCATGACGGTTGGGGAGTACCGCCGCCTGGCCAACAGTGAGAAGTACGTGCTGGGACCCGGGCGAGTGTAGGGCGGGTACCCCAAAACCCTGGCTCTAAGGTGGAGCCACACCTTGAAGTCCTCAGCACCACTGAAGTGGGGCCCTCAGTGGCCCCACCTGTGAAGCCCAGTCCACCAGGGGCCCTGGGGGTGCAGAGATGGTGGGGCCCATGCAGCCCCCTACAAAGTGCACATGGCTTGTTCCTGGTATGCTGGGTGGGTCTTGGCACCTCCATGCTCAGAGTCCCCCAGTTCAAAGAGGGCGAAATCCAGACCCTCACCCAGCCCAGGGCCATGCTGTCCATATCTTGTTACCTTCAAGGGTAGCTGAGGGCTGCCCCTAGGGGCTCGCTCTGTCCCATCTCTGGGGCACGTCCCTCACACCCGCCCATGATGTCTCAGTTCTGATGGTGCCTCCTCAGAGAGGGACTCTCTGATACACCTCCCTGCATTCCACTTCCTTGTTCAACATGGCTCACACATGGGCACACTCATGCAGACTCCTGTGTGCTCATGGGTGCACTCTTGGGCACTTGTGCACACATGGTACACTCATGGCACACACCACTGTTCTCTCCTCCTTGTTCTCAATTATTCCAGCCTTCCTCCCTCTCGGAAATTGTTTGTGCATTCCTGGCAGTCCTTTTACTCTCAAACATAATTGTCCTGTGAGGGCAGAGCGTTATCTGCCCACTCTCGTGCTGTCCCTAGCGCCCAGGACAGTGCCTGGCCTGTCATCGATGCTTTGGTATGTGCTGAGTGGTGGGATCATGAGAACAGTCAGAGCCCGCGCCTGTCCACTTGCTCCAGCTGTCCCTGGTATGCGTCATGACATGTGTACCCCAGGCCCAGCTAGCTGACGGGATGAGACGAGTGGGCATCATTCCAGGCAGGGCTGCCTGCCTAGCAAACACTCGCCCCCTAGAAGAAATGCTCTCTCAGCAGCAATCGGACCACATCCGTGTTCTTGGGGGCTGCGCCCTGCAGTGGGGACAAGGCTGGTCTAAACAGAGCCCCTCCCTCCGTGTATCCAGCAGGCGCCCTGGGGCCTGGCTCAGCTGTGAGCATCAGGCACAGGCTCTGAGCCCCGAGGCCCACTTTCCGTGTGCTGTTTGCTCACAGGTACTGCACTCCGCGGCACCAGGACTTTGACGACCTGGAACGCAAGTACTGGAAGAACCTCACCTTCGTTTCTCCCATCTACGGGGCGGACATCAGTGGCTCCTTGTACGATGACGTAAGTACACTGGGCCCCTCGGTATTTGAGGCCAAGAGGTTCTGCAGAAAACAGGGACTCAATTTCCTGGTAAATGGCAGAGAGGAAGGAGTGTGAATGGGACTCTTATCTTGAAAATGGAAGTTGAAATGACACAGAAGCTTAGCTGGGCTTTCTGTAGGGGTTCCAGTTATAACTACGTGCAAGTCTTAGAATGAATGAAAAAGGGATCCTGTGGGTTTCCTGACTTACAAAATCTTTCCTCCTGAGTGGAGGAGCCCCGCTTACTCTAACTTGCCACCCTCAGAAACCTGGAGCCTCGAGTTCTCAGCCGGCCAGCCTGGCACTGGGTTCACCCATGTCTGGTCCCTATGCTGGTCCAGGGGGCTGGGGACACCTGGGCAATGGAGGGCCCTAGCCTTGGCCTGTCCAAGGATGTAGACCAGACACTGGTGATTGTGACACAGAGGCCTGGGAGGTGCTAAGCAGAGGGAGGTTTGAGTGGGACCAGTATTTTTTAGGGGATAGTTTATTAATATTTATGGGATAGCCCTGGATGGATCTCCTGGGGTTAATTTGAGAGTTACTGAGCCTAACTCTCTTCTGGGGGTGTTCTGTATGGGGTACCCTGGGCTAAAATCCACTCCCCAGGGTGGCCCCTTCTGTCCCAATCTGTGCCCGCCACCCCAAGCTGTCATTCTAAAGATCACCTCTTGCTGGGACACTCTTTTCCATCCATTCAGCCTGTGCTCCCTGTGACAGCAGCCGGTGGGCGCCACCCGAGTCCTGATTTTGGGTGGGACTGGAGTGGGTGGGAATAGCACCCCCCTCCTGGGAAGGGTGGGGACCATCCTGGATGCCCAGGGAAGAGCCTGTGAGAACAGCATGGGGCTTGTGTTTCCCAAAAGGTGTTGGAAAAAGAGGACTACTGCGTGGGTCCCAACGTGAATCGCTGACCAACATTTCAATTTGCCCAGAGTGGCTGCACCATTTTGCATTCCCACCGACGGTGGGTGACAGCTCCTGTTGCTCCACATCCTCAGCAGCATTTAGTGGTGTCAGAATTCTGGATTTTGGCCGTTCTGATAGGTGTGCAGTGGTACCTGTGGTTTTGATACGCATCTCCCCGACGACGTATGATATGGAGCATATTTTCCGTCGGTGTATCTTCCTTGGTGAGGTGTCTGTTCAGGTCTCTGGCCCATTTTCTAAGTGGGTTGTTGGTTTTCTTATTGTTGAGTCTGAAGAGTTCTTCATATATATTGGGCAACAGTCCTTTATCTGATGTGTCTTTAGCAAATATTTTCTCCTAGTCTGGGGCTTGTCTTCTCATTCTCTTGAGGACCCTGCATTATTCTTTTCAAATGAAAATAAAAAAATTAGAGCCTTGTCCAGTGAGAACCTCTGGGATTGCTCTCGGATGCTGCCTGTAGTCAGTCGTAGCGATGGCTCCACAAAGGACTCCGCTGCCATGCAGACTCGGCGGGGCCAATGCCAAGATCAGTGAGCGACGCCTGCCATAGGCTTCGGGGCCCTGTGTTTGCTGTGTCCAGCCTAGTGTGACAGTCTCCTTTTACTGTCGGGGAAACTGAGGCCCAGAGCAGAGCATCGACTTGCCCTGGTCACAGAGTTATTGCCTGGCTTATATTAGACCCGAGTCCTCCACCTATAGCCACATTGTGGACATGTGGACTGTTCAGGGCTTTAGGGAAACGACGTTTTTTTGATGTGCCCTGACCGTGGGCAGCTTCTATTCAAGGCCATCTTGGGCTTTTCATCCTTGTACTGAGGGGTCTGATCGCTGCTCCCACCCCATGTCCTGGGCTCCTGCCAGGGCTCAGCTTGCGAAGATGAGCCGCTGGTCCCGCCATGTCATGGGCCTATAGTGTGGACAGGAGTGGGCGGTACAGTGTGGATTGGGACGGGAAAGTTGATTAAAGCCTGTTTTATGAGCTCTTTTGACAAGATGCGGTTTGTTTGCTTGTGGCATTAGGAAGAGATGAGTCTGGCGGGTGGGGATTCCAGGCTTGTTTGCCTGGTTCTGAGAACCATCTCTATCTCCTCCATGGGAAAGTGCTGTCTGGCACCTTTGCTGGACAGCCTCACTCAGCACTTATCTTCCTCCTTCCGTGGCATTGACTGTGGGGCACATTAGTTATTCATGACCAAACCACAGTCTTCACCACCCGACTTAACGCACAGCAGCGTGGAATCTGGACGAAGCTCTGCCTGATGGCTTGGCACGGGCGGCAGGTGTCTGCAGGGTGTGAGCAGCCAGGTTTCAGATACTGGGGTGGGCGAGGCTCTGAAGTGGGCAGGCTTGGGGCTGACAGCTGGCTCTGGGGCCTCATGGGGGTCGCACTGCAGCCCGGGGCCCAGAGAGAACGACACTCCCTGTTCCTCACTAGTGTCTGTGGGTGGTGGGGCCTGGGTGCCCTGGGATGGCCAGCCCACTGACTGTGTGCTCACTGCCCTGCAGGATGTGGCCCAGTGGAACATTGGGAACCTGCGGACCATCCTGGATATGGTGGAGCGTGAGTGTGGCACCATCATTGAGGGCGTCAACACCCCCTACCTGTACTTCGGCATGTGGAAGACCACCTTTGCCTGGCACACAGAGGACATGGATCTGTACAGTATCAACTACCTGCACTTCGGGGAGCCCAAGTCCTGGTGAGTGTCTGGCCAGCAGCCTGACCTGCTTTGGAGGGAGGAGGGGCAGGACTTGAGGTCACAGGGCGGTGCCAGTGGATCGGCTACTCTGGGGACAGGCAGTGGTGGGGTGCATTCTGGGTAGCTCCCTGTGGCTGAGGCTGTCAGGTGGGGTGGGCCAAGGTTGGGCCTCTGGCAGCTCGAGATCTGCAGGCCCTGCCTCCACTGGCTTTGGGCAGCCACAGTTTACCCACCAGATTTGGCGATGAGGGATGTGAGCCCCCTGGAAATGAGCTTCCCAATGCCTAGAGCTTGTGGTTTGCACCCAGAGAGCCTCACGCAGCGGTGGCTGGTACTGGGGTCCCTCAGTGCCTCCTGGGGCTGCATCAGACGCTCGGCTGTTGTACCGGGGGCACTTCCAGGAACGTGGGCCTGGGGACTGGGTGGCCTTGAGCACTGAGCCCCACCTTGCTTCTAGGTTGGGGGGTGGGATGAGCAGTAGGCCCCTGCTGCCTGGGGGTCCCCTTGCTGGTTTGCAGGTGCTGGCCAGAAGGCCACTCTCGAGCCCTGGGCCCTGCAAGCTTGGTTGCCCGTCCAGTGCGTTCCATGTTCTGGAATCTCAGCTGAGCACTTACCTCACATCCAGCTTTGCTGGCAGGCCTGGCAGCAGCTGCCTTCTGTTTGTTCATTGTCTGTTTCCAGCTGAGACTCCTGAGCTAGGGGCTTTGCATCACCCTGCCTCTCCCCAGCTGTCTTAGAAGATTCTGTTGTCACAAGAATCATCACAGCTCAGAGGGCTGGGAGGAGAAGCAGGAGGCCTGGGAGCAGATTGTGGCCCTCAGGACCTCAGCCACGCGAACTTGGTGCAGTGGGGGATGAGGACACAGCACAGCTGGGGACCCCAGCAGACCCTGGCCAAGACCCCCTTTGTGTTAGTGTTCCAGCTGAGAGCTGACACCTGAGTGGCTGAGCCTGTGCCCACAGGCATGGAGGGAGGGCCACCTCAACCCCTTTAAGTCTCTGGGACCTCTCAGAGCCCTTTGCTGAGGGGGGCGGGAGCAGGTGCTGAGCAGAGGGCCCAGAAGCCAGGAGGAACCGTGGGTAGGAAGCCCGGCCTCGCTGTCCTGCTCTCTACTGTGTGACCATGGTCACCTTACCTCTGATGTGGACAGAGCGGTTCCCACTCAGACAGGCAGGGAAGGATGGGGAAGCATGGGGACAGATGTGGCGGGGGCCTTTGTATGGGTGTCCCAAAGCAGCTGTAACAAGTGACCACAAGCCTCATGGCTTAACACACACGCATTTATTCTCTTGTGTTCCGGAGGTCAGAAGTCTGACTCAGGTCTCAGGGCTAAACCCAGGTGTGAGCGGGGTTGGCCCTTCCAGAAGCCCCAGGGAGAGGCGTTCTGGGCCTTTTCCAGCTGCTAGAGACACCGCGTCCTGGCTCATGGCCCCTCCTCCATCGTCACAGACAGCAGTGTAGCCTCTTCCATCTCTCTGACTCTGACCCTCCTACTGCTCTCTTATAAAGACCCTGTGATGACACTGGGCCCCCTGGAGAATTCAGGGTTCTCCCATCTCAGGGGCCTTGACTTAATCCCACCTGCAAAGTCCCTTTGCCATGTGAGGTGACATGTCCACAGGTCCCGGGACTAGGACTGGGATGTCTTTGGGGCCATTTTCCTGCTTGCCCTAGGCCCTCTGACCTTTGCACTGTGCTACTTTGTGCATTTGCAGAGGTCCTGTTACAGTTCCGTGAGCTTCCTGTTTTCAGTCCTCTTCTCTCTTTGGTGGCATTTTGTGGCTTTGCATCAGCCTTAATAATTGAAACCTCCAGGCTGGGAGGTATTTGCCTTTTGGGATGAATTTGGAGAGATTGACAGGTTGGTGATGCCCATTTCATGAAGGCCTAAATTTCACGCCTGCGAGTGTGGTCCTGAGCACTGGGCAGAGCTGTTTCCTGGTCAGTGGTGCTGTCCCAGTGCTGCCCAGGAGGTCCCAGTGGCAGTGCAGCCACCCCGTCCCCCTCCCCTGCTCTCTCCATGGCAAGGCTGGGCTGTGACTCCATGGAGGGCCCAGTCCAGGCCTGGCGGAGAGGGGGCTGTGCTCTGCCCCAAGTCCACACCTGCAGGCAGGAGGGCGGGGCCTGGGAGTACAGCTTGTGGGGTGAGTGGATCTGTCCTTCCCAGCAGCCTACATGCTCCCCGTGGGCTGTGCCAGCTATGTGCTCGCGAGCAGCCTCCTGGCTCTGCGTACAGATCCACAGGCTGAGTCATGAGTGTTTGTGTGTGAGTGTAAGAGTACATGTGAGTGTCTGAGTGTGTATATGTGTGTGAGTGTGTGGGAGTGTCTCAGTGTGTGTGAGTATATATATGTGAGTGTATGTTTTGTGTATATGTGAATGTTTGAGTGTATATGCCTGTGTGTGTGAGTGTATGTGTACAGCTTGCTGAGCCCTGCTTGCTGGCCTCTGAACTATGCTTCGTGGAGTGAGCTGGTGACATGGCCGAATTTTCTGGTGTCTATCCTCTGCCACCACATCCTAGTACATCCAGGCGCAGCTCCCCCAAGGGCCACTAGATGGCGGCCCTGCCCTTCCCCACAGGCTGTCAGCTGCCTGTACCTTGGTGGAAATTTCCCAGATCCTTTCATCCTTTTTAGACTCCACAGCCCACTTGGCAGTGATCATCCCAGGACCCGTAGGGAGCCACAGCAGGAGGAGAGCAAGGACTCCGCCGGGTGGGTGGACGGTGGTGGGAGTGCTGCCTCTGCTCTGCTCAGCCCGGCAAGGATGCCCTGGTTTTGGTGGGGTCTGCCAGCCAGAGGGACCTTAAGGAGGGAAAAAACCCACCTTTTCCTTTAAAAACATAAAAAAGAGAAAGAAGCCAGTGTTGAGTCCCAGCACATGTTTGTAGAGGGCAGGTTGAGCTCTCAAATGTGGCCTTGGGGGCGAAGTGTGTTCTGGGGGCATGTGGCCCAGCAGTGGGCAGTGAGGGTGCCCAGGGAAGGCGCTGGTCTCAGTGGGTTGGCACAGGAAGTGGCATTGGAGAGCCAGGCGAGGAGGCCTTCAGGTCAAGAGAGGGTGGGGACCACAGAGAAGCGGCTGGGGTAAGGGTGGCAGGAAGGCAATGGGACTGGCTTTGAGGGAGGTGAGGCATGAGAATGCGGTGGAAGGTCCCTGAGAGTTGTTCATGGGAGGGGCCCGTGGGAATGTGAAGGGACAGCAGCCCCCTCGCTGGGTGACGGGGCAGGACCAACACCTGGCTCTGCATGCTCGCCTCCTGTCGCCAGCACTAGTGCTCTCCAGGATGCAGCCCCTGAGGACAGCCCCCTGCTGTCCCACACTGCACCCCTGGTTTGCTTGGGGTACCTCTGGTGTCCAACCACCACCCCACCTCCACCCTTTCCCACAGTCTGATTTCCGGGAGCCCTGGGGAAGCAGTGAGCAGGACCGGTTTTGGACGTAGCAGTGTGCCCTTGGAGGGAAAGAAGGCTCTGCGAGGCACCTTGGCCTTGGTCTTGGTTTCTGGTGCTGAAGGGGGTGGGATTGCACATGGGGGTCCCTCACACTGACTGTAGCCAGTGGAAAGGGGCTCCTCAAAGTATGACTGTGTAGGATCCCTGTCTCCCTCCCTGAACCCCCACACCGCTGCCAAGCTCCCTGCTCCTTGTCTGGCCAGCTCAGTCTGGTTGTCATGCTGGGCACTCTTCCCACTCTCTCCTCAGGACGCGGATGGGGATGGCATCAATGTCTCCCCACCAAAACTATGGGCCCCCTGAGGGCAGGGCCTTTGGTTTCCTCTGTGTCTCCAGCCACCAGCAGGGGCCTGGCATAGAGAGGGACTCGGTGACTATCAGGAGCCCTGGATGCTGGGTCCACAGTGACCACTCAGCCTCTTGGAGCCCAGTGCACTGAGGCTTCCGTCATGGAACTGGCACCATCCCCATGGGAGCTCTGTCATGACTGTGCTCTGTCATGGGGCTGACATGGACACCAGCCTGGGGGGTGGGTAAGGTACCCTCTAGTCCCTGGGCTGGAAGCTCAGGGAGCCACTCGGCAACCCCCTGGGAAGCTGGTGCCCTGCTCCCGCCCCTCCCCTGGGCTCATGCAGGGGCAATGTTCTCCAGCAGATTGCACTCACACGTCTGTCTCCCTAATTATACTGCTTCTCTTGCGTCTGCAGTGGCTTAATTGCAACCATTTTGGAGTATTTCGGTAGCACTTTTTTTAAGGTGTCGACATCCTCAGGTTTACAACGTTTTATGAGGCCTTTCTGGGTCTGTTGCTACTTTGGTAGTGTGATTTGTGTGTCAAAGTGACATGAACAGCCTGGTGTCGATAAAAGCATGGAATTTGCTTCGAAAGGCCAGCATTATGTGGTGCTCTCAGGCAGCGAGGCTAAGAATATCTGAAGCATTTGAGTGCTTCAAAATCCCTTTTGAGATGGGGATTTAAAATAGACCCGGCACTTGTAGTTGGCCCCTGATTGGCCTTCCTGCCGTCCAGGTGGTTAGTGAGGCCAGGAGGGTGGGCAGGCATGGGCATCGGCAGGGCTGGCCCTGCGGGGTGGTGTCTGGGTGGTGGGGCAGCCAGGGGCCATGTCTGGAGGCTGTGCCCCATAAAACCTGCTGTCCTTGGCTGGATGCCTGCCCTGGAGCCCGTGGGTGGCGGTGGTTTAGCCGGAGATAATATCCCTGCAGTCTGTCCCAGGGCCACTCTGCCTGATGGCCTTCCCTTGGCCATCTGCCTCCTGGTTTGGCCCCTGTGGGTCCCAGGCCTCATCAACTCGAACGTCAACGCCGTGTGTGACACACCCACCTTTGTTGTTTTACACTGTTTCTCAGATGTAGCACTAACAATGTTTCTAGCAGTATTGTCACACATAGCACCTGCCACCTCCTGTCCTCCCTCCTGCTCTACTGTGGTGTCCCCAGGAAACAGTTCCAGGCTGGAACCGGAGAGCACTGGGCTCTGGTCAGCCCTACTCTGCCTGGGCACTTCTAGACCATCTGGGGTGTGC